GTCCTCGACAGCTCCGCGAGTGCGTCTGCCAGCGGCGTCACCGGCTCTGTCAGCAGAAAGATGAGCCCGTTGTCGGCGAGCTCTCCCGCGTCGAGGCACTTGACGCAGTACGGGTGCTTGAGCGTGCGGTACCGGCGCATCGCGTTGCGCGCCAGCTCGGTCTGCGCGTCCGTCCCCTTCTTGATGTCGTACAGGAACACCGTGACGTCGCACTCCAGCTTCCGCGACTTGCCGGCGTACAGCCGCCACGGCGTCTTTCCGGCAAACGAGGCGTACTCCTCGCCGAGTTCGTACGGCAGATTGGCACCGGCGACCAGCTTGGAAGCCGCGCTCACCATGGAGGAGAACATGGCTGCGGATCCGGCGCGCACCGCCGCCAGAACATAGAGAAGAAAATTTTTTTCATCATTTTCGGTGGGACCCTGTCCTTCTCCCACCACCTCTCTCCTTAAAATCCCTGTGTGGTGGCGGCGTGCTGTCCTCCCATCCCTCCCTTGGTTTTCTGTTTTTTCTTTCTTTTTCGATGCCAACCGACAGCTACCGACCGCCGCCCCCCCCCCCCCCCCGACTTGCGGTGCGGAGCGAAAAAAAACTGTTCAGTTTTCAAAGGCAAAACACAACGCTCTGCGGTTGGTGCACCCCTCACACTGACACATTCCCCTCATCCCCGACCCTTGGCTGAGCACATCTAGGACCTGCGAGCTAGCATCTCCGCATTTTCTCTTCCAGTCATCCGCCCGCGCCGCGCGCCATCACTGGGCGTCTAGTGCAGCCACTGACAGAGCTATTCCGAAGGAGTGGTCGACGCCTCGCCTAGAGTTCGGGTGGACTTGCGCACTGCTTAGCCCTGAGGGGGGAGTGTGTGTGAGGTGGTGTAATGTTGTCCCGTTTCAGGCGGCAGGTCAGGGGATTAGCCGGGAGGATTCGGCAGCTCAGCCAGGGGCTGAGCGTCTGCAGGCAGCCTTCCGCCCGCGCCGAAATTCACAGCCCTCCCGGGCCGACGGGGTGCTCCTTGGATCGGGCCCCGCTCCCCGCTTTTCCTGTACCTGGACTGTCCGGGTTAAGAGGGTGAGAGTATTGGGTGGGCGAGGGCAGTACATCTGGCGGGTGGCGATTGAGGGACAGCGTGGGTTGATTGGGGGGTAATGGGCGCGCGGGCGGCGCTTCGTGGTCCTGGGCGAGCAGGGGAAGTGGTTAGGAGTCTTGGGCCCAGAGATGAGGATTGTCGAGATGTCATGCGAGAGCGGTGGGTGGGCGAGTAGCGCGGCTGGAGAGTGGTGTCCGAGGGACAATGGTGAGTTGTCAGTTGGGGCGCGAGACGCGCGGGAATCATACTGTATAGGGTGCTGATTGTGAGCTGAGTGCATGGGTGTATGGGGTTCAGAAATTTGTGGCGTCGAGGTTTGTGCATTGGTGGCTGGCGTAACGGTCAGAGGTTCGCATTCGGGCCGGTTGGCTGCGGGTTCAAGGCCGGGCGGGGGGGGGAGGGGG